AGCCCAGGAGTTTGAGGTTGCTGTGAGCTAGGCTGACGCCACGGCACTCACTCTAGCCCGGGCAAAAGAGTGAGACTCTGTCTCAAAAAAAAAAACCAAAAAACCCTGACTGTAGCATACAAAGATATGCCAAGTAGATTCTGAAAATAAGAGAATAGATTAAAAGCATGAGTAACTTCCCATCTTCCCCTTACCACAGTGCTCTTCCCCAGTGTTTACGTAGCTCTCAGGCCCTACATTTGAATCAATGATAGAAAGAGAAGTTACCTGATTTTTCTTTAAGAGATCTCTTCTAAGCAGGATCAAAGCTTTATTTCAGGGATTGGCCTTAGCCAAAATTTGAGGACCATAGACTGTATTGAATAAATGTGTCTTTGAATGCCTTCTGTGAACCTGGCATTGTGCTAGGCCCTGAGGGATTCAGAGAAGAGCCAGAAATAATCCCTTCCTTCAGAGGGAACAGAGATGCCCACGCAGAGAACTGCCAACAGCACATGTAAGGTTGAGGCAGCCTTTGAGAAGAAGAAATTTTACAGGTGTTGTGGGAACTCTTGTGAGAGACATGATGAAGCAGTAGAGGCTCCACAGAAGAGGTGACGCTGGAGCTAGACCTTAAAGGATTTTGACGGGCAGAAAAGAGTTTTGGAAAGGGCCTTCCAGTTTAAGAAAGTGACATAAGCAAACGCTCAGGGTTTTCAAAGTCCGTGGTTTGTTTGGTTAGGGTGGATGGTCCGGGTGGCTGGAGCACAGAACACATGACGGGGAAGTGGTGGGGCCGAAAAGTTAGGTCAGGACCAGTTCATGAATGGCCTTGAAGTGCGTGCCGAGACCATGGGAACTTGACAAAACCTGGGGGCTTAGTTATGAAATCAGAAAGGAAGTCTTGATACCCTGAAGGAACTGAGCAGAGAGGAAAACCTTTTCTAGATTGGATTCCAAACAGACTCTAGGAAGGTCATGGTTATGGTAGACCTGGGATAAGCCAGAGTCTCCTGAACCTTCTTACTTTTTGGGATTTCTAGGCATCTAGCTGAGTTGTGGAGAACCCTGAAGGTAGAGCTGCCCAGCACGACCTGGATTCTATGGAGGCTCCTGAGGAGGCTGCAGAAGTGCCATAATGTGCCCGCCCAGGAGAAGATGGCCTACGAGGCCGTGGCTGTAAGCCCTTCAGCTCTGCCCATTGTGCCCCCTCCTTAGGGCACACACCCTACTGGCAGAGCTTTCCTTCTGGTCCTCTCAGAGTGTGCTCTGTCTTCCATTTATAAATCCACAGTGTCTCTACCAGGAGACTGACACGGAGGGAGCTAAGAAAAGTACAGGAATCAGTATGGTTTAATATGTTTTAAACATTCCTTCCCTCATCCGTTAAAAAAAATTTATCGTCATAAAAATTAATACAAACTTGTGATAAAAAAATTTTCAAGTAATACAGAAGTGTATAAAATAGGCTGGGCACAGTGGCTCACACCTGTAATCCCAATGCTTTGGTAGGCCAAGGCGGGAGGATTACTTGAGACCAGTAGTTCAAGATCAGCCTGGGCAACATAGTGAGACCCCTGTCTCTACAAAAAAATTTTTTTAATTAGCTGGGTGTGGTGGCACACACCCGTAGTCCCAGCTACTCAAGAGGCTAAGGAGGGAGGATCTCTTGAGCCCAGGAGTTCGGGATTACAATGAGCTATGATCAGGCCTCTATGCTCCAACCTGGGTGACGGAGCAAGACCCTATCTCTAAAAATAATTTTTAAAAAAGTATATAAAATAGATAGTAAAGGTTCCCTTGAGCAGGGGTTGGCAAAATTTTGCAACGGACCAGATGGTAAATATTTTAGGCTTTGCCAGGCCACATACAGTCTCTTTCACATATTCTTTGGATTTTTCTTAACAGTCCTTTTAAAACTGTAAAAGTCATTCTTAGCTCATGTCTGTACCATTGTCCTAAAAATGAACTTTCTAGAAGTGTTTATATATATGTAAACTTTTTATATATATTTGGTATACTTTTTTCCCATGTTTTTCCTTTCAAATACTTTTTTAGAACAGTTGTATGTTCACAGCGAAATTGAGCAGGATGTACAAAGAGTTCTCATAACCCCCCTGCCTCCACACACACAGCCTCTCCCCCTGTCAACATGCACTTTTTACTTTATTTTCTCCCCTACCAGTTTTACGATTCAGCTTTCTCCAGTCTAAGTTATTGTCATACTTTTTTTTTTTTAGCTTCCAAAATTATTTCAACTTCTCTAATCTACTATTGTCTCCTCTCCTTTTCTCTCTGTTCTTGTGGCCTAGTGCCTCTTTTTAAATCCCTATAATGTCATTTTAGTGCAGTTTTAGGAGCTGGGGCAGATAAAGGTATATATTCAATTATGTTAGGCTATAAAATTGCATCTATATTAATAGGATCATACTGCATATACTGTTTAATGGCTTTCTTTTTGAGATTTAACAATATATGAGTTACTTTCCATATCAATATAAGTGCTCTATGTTATCCTTTTCATGGCTGCATAGTAGGGTTTTTGTTTGTTTTTGAGACCCTTGCCTGAGCTAGAGTACAGTGGTATTATCTTAGCTCACAGCAACCTCAAACTCCTGGGCTCAAGGGATCCTCCTGCCTCAGTCTCCTGAGTAGCTGAGACTAAATTTTTTTTTCCATTGGTAGAGACAAGGTCTCACTATTGCCCAGGCTGAGCTCAAACTCCTGGCCTCAAGCGATCCTCCTGCCTCAGCCTCTCAAAGTGCTAGGAATACAGGCATGAGCCACCATGCCCCACCTACATAGTAGTTTATTTGTAATTACCTTTTTAAAAATAGGTCTTACATGGTACAGAATCATCATTTAATTATCAAGATTCCTGTTAAGTGAACATTTTGGAAATTTTTGAACTTTTGCCGTTAAAACAATGCTGCTGCATGCATACATAAATGTCATACACTCAATTATTTTCTTAGTATAAAGTCCATTAAAGGGGAAATTCTAGGTCAGTGGACCTACTTAAAGTTTTGGTATTTGTTCCCACACTGTCTTCTAGAAGTTGCCCTTCCTCTAGTTGTATGCGAGGATGCCTTTTACCCATATCCTCATCACACTGAACAATACAGTCTTTTCATTGTTGCCTTGCTGATAGGTGAAATAGGAACATATTGTTTTAATTATAATTTTGTTACTGATAAGGTTGTTATTTGTACGTGTTTTTAATTGGCCAATTATATTTCTTCTTTTGAGACTTGTCTGCTCATGACCTTCTCAAATTTAATATGCGCACAAACCACAATCACCCGGGGATCTTAGTAAAATCTCTGATAATACCTGTCCTCATCTTAAATCAATGAAGTGTTTTATTAGCCGGGCGTGGTGGCACACGCCTGTAGTTCCAGCTACTCAGGAGGCTGAGGTGGGAGGATTACTTGAGCCCAGGAGTTTCAGGTTGCAGTGAGCTATGATGATGCCACTGCACTCCAGCCTGGGAGACAGAGTGAGACTCTGTCTCTAAAAAATAAACACATGAATAAATAAATGAAATAAAATAAAATGTATATTCTGATACAGAAGATCTGGGGTGAGGCTTGAGACTCTTCATTTTTAACCAGCTCGCAGGTGAGGCCAGTGCTAGTAGTGTCTGGCCCACACTTTGAGTAGCAAGCCTTTTACATTTTTTCTTACTAACACCTAAGAGCCTTGTATATATTAAGAATAACACATTGATGCAAATACTTCTCTGGGTCGTTATTTGTCATCTAACTTTATGATAAATTTTGCCTTGGTTTTATATTTGTATGTAGTCACATACGTTCATATTAATCGTTTCCTTCACGTCTTCTGGATTTCAAGTCTCACCTCACTCTTTGCTAACTTTTAATGACCACTGCACTCCTATTACTTTTCTCCTTGGCTTTCATGTCCCTGTACTAATTACCACTGCTGTTCTGCCTATGGGGCAGTAGAGCCAGAAAGCACGTTCTGGCACAAACAGCAGTGAAGCCAAAGTGGGACTCGGGCCAGTGCTCAGTTCCGCTCTGTCTTTTCTGCCACAGGCAACAGACGCCCTCTACGAGGTCTTTGTGGGAAACCGTCTCCAAGCAGCTACGTTCCGACTCTTCCCTCAGCTTCTCATGACACTGCTCATCCAGATTCACCATAGCGTCGGCCTCACCATGTCTGATGTTGCCATCCCAAGCGGTCTGTACCGAGAACAGGAAATGTCTTCAGAGGCCACCCCTTTGAGGTACTACCCATTGTGATTGCCTCAATATGAACAGAAACTGTTCTGGGGTTTTCATTGCTTGTCTTTGGTTTTATTGACACCAAGGAGAATTTGTCCATCCGGGTCCAGATGCCCTGCAAAATAATGTGTGATATCATGCCAACCCTTTCCAAATAAATCAAGTAGAGACAGAAACAATCAAAATAGCCTACATCCACCTCCAAAACTGTACTTATCCGCTGTGGAATGATTCCTCATTTCTGCTTTGTTGCATGGAGAGATATTTTTAAGTCCCCATTAGAGTCTCAGCAGAAGTTTCTTAGTATTGCTGTAGCACGTGGATTTCTTTCAGAGGAAGTACGATGGTACTATAATGGGGCATATGTAAGAACACCAACTGAGAGTCAGTAGACCTGAATTTTAGTTCTAGTTCTCATTCCTCCTTTCAACTAAGCTGTGTATCCTGGGCAAATCTATTGTTCTCTGCCTCAATTTTCTTATCTGTAAATAAGGAAGTCAGGAACGGTAATCTCTAAGGATTCTTTCTTTTCTCTGATGCAGTGTCCAGGATGACAGTTCAATAAGTAGTTTTAAAAGCAGTGGAGAGGCCGGGCGCGGTGGCTTACGCCTGTAATCCTAGCTCTCTGGGAGGCCCAGGCGGGTGGATTGTTTGAGCTCAGGAGTTCGAAACCAGCCTGAGCAAGAGCGAGACCCCGTCTCTACTAAAATTAGAAATAAATTAATTGGACAACTAAAAATATACAGAAAAAATTAGCCGGGCATGGTGGTGCATGTCTGTAGTCCCAGCTACTCAGGAGGCTGAGGCAGGAGGATCACTTGAGCCCAGGAATTTGAGGTTGCTGTGAGCTAGGATGATGCCACG